GAATTTTTCTAGTGGGTTACTGTGTTTGTCCTCTAAAGGAAAATATGCTATAAAATATATTTTATCTTCTAAATATACATTTAAGCTAGTTTTTTGGCATAAATAGGGAATAATTTCAGATAAAATGTGAATTTTAAATACTTTCATCTGTTTTAATATTGAAGTATTGGGTTATAAATATTGCACAATTTCATTACCACTTGATGTTGCCAACACTTTATGAATTTTTGTGTTATATGGTTTTAATTTTAAATTTTACTGCAGTCAGGAGTGCAACAAAACTGCTTTATAATTACCAATGCTTTTTAACTATCTTTACTAAAAGGTAAGTTGAAAAAAAATGTTTGATACTATTTGATGTTCAAAGCACTATGTCTATCAACAAATTTCAGAAATTTTACAGTCAATTAAGGGAATAGTTTTCATCATTTCACATATAGTTTTAAATACAATTTATATATATTACACTTTGCAAATAATCATGTTTTAAGGTCTTCAAAATATGAAAAACCTGCCGTAAAAGATGAAAAAATATCAAAACGACAAATTGATTTACAAAGTAAGAATGGGTTATTGTTTGTTAGAATTTTTAAAACAATGTTAAATACAATACATATCAGATGTCAGGAGTGCAACACAATAATGTAACATAGGGTCACTTCAAAATCTAGTATTTTTTGTAAGAGAACTTGTATATAAAAATTCTTGTTTGGCTTAGATTTAAAGAATTGACTTGAACGGACAAAAAAGTGACTTTTGAAGAATTTTATTGCTTCATATTTTTTTCGTATTAAAACTTTTCAAACCAGAATTGAAAAAAATAATGTAAAATAACAATCAAAAAGCCAATTTTTGTCACATATACAAGAGAAGATACTCAATCAAGGTCTAGATTTAATCATCTATACCCCTTTTACCATTTTGAAGCATAAAAAACAATAATTTCTTGTGATTATGTATTTTAGAAAGTCTTTTAAGGTGTAATGATATTTTCTTTTTTCAAAAGAAATTTTACTGATAAAAAATCTGAAACTTTTTTATCCAATTGTCTATTATATTGCCACTTCAGGATTTTAAACTAGAATGCATGTGCAATATGATGATATAAGTGAACTAGAAATATGTCCATAGGACATGAATGCCCCGCCAAGGGTATATTAGTAATGCAACATTTTAACACAAATTGAGAAAAGTGAGGTCAAGGTCAAAGGAAAGGTCAAGGTCAAAAAATATTGCTGCAGTTGAATAGCTTACATCAGTATGTATCAGCATATGACGTTTGATTCAGAAACTAATTTAAGAAAAGTGAGGTCAAGATCAAAGGAAAGGTCAAGATCAAAAAATGTTGATGTAGTTGAAAAGGTTACATCAGTATGTATTAGCATATGAAGTTTGATGAAAATATTATGAATGGTTTCTTTAAAACTGAGCTAAACACTAATTTAAGAAAAGTGAGGTCAAGGTCAAAGGAAAGGTCAAGGTCAAAAAATATTGATGCAGTTGAATAGCTCTCATCAGTATGTATCAGCATATGAAGTTTGACACTAATTTAAGAAAAGTGAGGTCAAGGTCAAAGGAAAGGTCAAGGTCAAAAAATGTTGATGCAGTTGAAAAGGTTACATCAGTATGTATTAGCATATGAAGTTTGATGAAAATATTATGAATGGTTTCTTTAAAACTGAGCTAAACACTAATTTAAGAAAAGTGAGGTCATGGTCAAAGGAAAGGTCAAGGTCAAAAAATATTGATGCAGTTGAATAGCTCTCATCAGTATGTATCAGCATATGAAGTTTGACACTAATTTAAGAAAAGTGAGGTCAAGGTCAAAGGAAAGGTCAAGGTCAAAAAATGTTGATGCAGTTGAATAGCTCTCATCAGTATGTATCAGCATATGAAGTTTGATAACACTATCTTGAATGGTATCTTTAAAACTGAGCTAAAAACTTATTTAAGAAAAGTGAGGTCAAGGTCAAAGGAAAGGTCAAGGTAAAAAATATTGATGCAGTTGAATAGCTCTCATCAGTATGTATCAGCATATGAAGTTTGTTAAAAATATCTTGAATGGTTTCATTTAAACAGAGCTAAACATTAATTTAAGAAAAGTGAGGTCAAGGTCAAAATAAAGGTCAAGGTCAAAAAATGTTGACGCAATTGAATAGCTTACATCAGTATGTATCAACATATGAAGTTTGATTACACTATCTTGAATGGTATCTTTAAAACTGAGCTAAACACTAATTTAAGAAAAGTGAGGTCAAGGTCAAAGGAAAGGTCAAGGTCAAAAAATGTTGATGCAGTTGCATAGCCCTCATCAATATCTATCAGCATATGAAGTTTGATAAAAATATCTTGGATAGTTTCTTTGAAACTGAGCTTTGAACAGAGCTAAACGCAAAGTGTGACGGAAGGAAGGACGGAAGGACAGAAGGACGGAAGGACGGAAGACGGACATGACAAACACTATATGCCCCGGCCATATTCATGGCGGGGCATAAAAATATGTTATAAGTAGTTGAAATTTTCCAAAAAAATTCAGTTTGGTGGTCATTTTTTTTTAATTCACCCATATGTAGAACGGTGCTGAAAAATTAAATTTAAATACGGGCAATATACAGATACTTCAAGCACTGCAACATTTTGTTGTTATATTAGAGACGACAAATCCTTCATGGAGAGATAATTATCGAAGTCAATTTTTCAAACTGCAGCAAAATTACGGAAATAATTATTTCTAACACTTTTTTTTCTCTCCAATTACTACAGAAATACATGATAGAACTAGTTCTGAGAATTATACATAGTACTGCGGATATCCAGTTAAACATCTTTGGAGCGAGTTAAATTGATAGTGTGGTTCAGATTTTTTCTACTTTTTACGTATATTAAGTTTATTGTTATAGAAAAAAAATTCTTCTTTCACCGTAACCTTATATGTTTGCCATTCGATATAATTAAGAGCGCCTCCCCCTTTCCCAAATCGGTTACTTATTCAGTATTTCCCGTATATTTTAATAAACATTTAAAAAGAAGTTAATGTATTTTGTAGCACAAAAAAGTCAGTCTCAAAAAATACATGCATCTTTTATAAAAAATGTCATTAAACAGTAGTTAGTTCAAAATATACACTTGCCGGCAGTGGTATTTCAAATAAGCATGGAGTATGCCTCAAATGCAAGTGGTAATTAACACCCAATGTATTTAATTTATTTATTTATTTATTTTAGAAATGTTGGAATCAAATCTAGAAATGCTAAAAAAAATGTTAAAACTACTAGCACTTCACCTTCGGTGTGACGAGACTTTCACACCTGCACAATGTCGAATGATTTTGATTGACAGGACAAGCACGTGGACTTCGTGTACTTGAAGCAGGACAATGAAAACGGATTATGACTTTCAAACAAATGGATTTGTTGATAAAATAGTTACTGTCACTGCCTGATCATGATATATATATACATGTAGAAAAAATTTAAGAATTTTTGTTTGATACAGGTACATATATTTGGTGAAGCCTGAAAAGGGGGGTTGGGGGGAGGAGGGGCTAAAACGGAATCTCTCTTTCTCTCTCTCTCTCTCATTTGTCTGTTTAATCAAAACTATGACAGCATTTTACTTAAATATCAAGTTCTGAAAATTTAATCTATAACAAATAATATGAATATGCCTCTTTGTACTATCTTGACCGAGTAAAATCACGGGGAAATGTCTACAGATAAATGTACATGTAGAAGTCTGCTCAATAAATCACCGTAAAAATAGATAATACACATAAACATATTATTGCATTTACAATTTAAATTATGAGTGTATTAATGCAATACGTCCACGGACTTTTGTAAAATATTTTAATTTTTTTCTTCATTATTTTACACGGAATCGTCTTGGCACGGAAATATGTGTATGGATGTTACAACCGTTGTAATTTTTTCTATAAGTCAGAAGTTTTTTTCTTATTTGTAATGGTTTTATATATCAAATAAGAATAAACATATTTATTTTACAACTAAAATAATTTTATCTTTTATACTACAGCATTCGGTAACAATTACAATGTTTTACAGCGATAAAAATCGTACGTGTGATTAAAAAGTTGAATTTAAACACCATACACGTTAGAAACTTAAATAAATAGTTTTACTTAATGTACATGTATCGTCTTTCTTAAGACAATTTTGGAATATTTATTTATTTATTTATTTTTTATTTATTTATTTATTTTTTGGCACCTGATATTAGAATACAACAGAATAGTTTCAATGCAAGGAAAAGATCAGAGACATTCCGAATAAATCGTTCATCTTGCGTTCACCGTTCACTTTGCACTCGCGTTTGCACTCCGTTCGCGTTCTGCGTTCGCTCACTGTTCACACATCGTTCACCAAGTTGCGTTCAGTGTTCACACATCGTTCACTCACCGTTCGCTCTGCATTCGTTCAGCTTTTGTTCACCGTTCGTTCAGCGTTTGCTCACTGTTCAAGTGGGAAAGTAGAACGTTTCAGGGACTGTACAGCCTTCCCAATTATTACCTCTCCACAAGATTCATAAGAATAAAAGCTAATGTATATTATTGTATTTTAATATGGATATTGTTTAAGGACAGTGCCATACTACAACGGCATTGAACAGGCAAGTTGAAGAAAAATATGTTGTAGCACAATTCAAGGAAGTTTCAACTAAAGAAACATTTATATATGTAAAACACAATTTAAAAATATTTAACACAATAAAATATCACTTTATTTTCTCAATATGATAATATCACAGATTACAAGATGTTTACATTCTGTTTCGTGGTATATACCTAAGGATTTCTAGAAAACTGAAAAACAATGCCCTATCTAAGGATTTTTTAAAAATTAAGGCTAAAAATGAGCCTTTTGACCCTTATACCCCATCGACATATAGTCCAAAAATTTTGGTACTTCATTTGTGGGGTAAAATAAGTAAGTATGTGTGTAATTTGTACCTTCAGCACTTTCCTGATAATAAAATGGTACCTGTATGTGTGACAAAGCAATTGCAGTTTCCGCCGTAGGATCCACTTTGACAACCTGACCAAACCATAGAGGGCAATCCTTAACACTGCCCTTGCCCCCCTCACAGCACACCATCAGTAGATAGCCATCCTCCTTCAGACTACCCAAATCCTGTATAGAAGCACTTAAATCTTCTCTGCCACAAGTCACATTCAATAGTTGCAAAATAAGGTGTCTGTTGTCTGCAATTCTGGATGGAATGAACACTAAATATCCTGGGTCATTGGAGGCAAAGTTTACCTGTAAACCACCATGCAAGACATAAAAAAAAAGCCCTTCCAAAGATTACATCAGTACTGTATAGGTTTAAAAGTCTAACCTAGGCAAGGAGATCACAGTTATGCCATTAGTTTGCTGTTTGAAGACTGTACTTATTATGACTTTTCATTTTATGTTAATTTTGTATTCACTTGGAGTTTGACACAAGCAAGGTATATTTGTATTTAAGGAATGAATTTAATAGCTACCCAATTTATACGGTATAAAGTAGGTTGGGGCAGTTTATGCTTTATAAACCGCAAAGCGGTTTATATAAAAGTGTAAACTGTTCCAACCCACTTTATACCATATAAATTAGGTAGCTATTAATTTCATTCCATATGATTTAATATTCATTCATTTAGTGTAAGAAAAAAGATGATTGTCTTTAAAAAATGACTTCAAATTGTCCAAAATTTAAATGTAATGCCAGGTGGATCGATACGTTTTTGATGCAAGTCATTGTGACATAGGCAACCCAATTTATAACGATATAAAGTAATTTTTTTATCCAATCAAATACCGCATTATAACTAGAATTAAATTATTGTAAGATGAAAAGAAATGTACCTTGCTTCTTTGGTCTGAGCCTGTAGAACAAGAGGCCCATGGGTCACAATGCTCAACTGAGTAACTTAAGCCCTGCTGTCTTTCCAAAAGATTTCTATATTCCCATTAAAAAATTATGACCCCATATTATAGCCCAACTCTACCTCTAAAGGTCTCAGTATTTGCACAATATGGGGATGCTTCAATACCATTATGACTGTAATGGTCTTGCAATAAGCAGTGGAGAACCAAATTCTTTTCCTGTAAACATGCATTATGTGAAATTTGATCCCTATTTTATCCCTATATCCCTATATATTGTTCCAAAAACTTTAACCTGGTCATTCATCTGGAAAATCTAGGTCAGATCCAGCATATGAAGCAAGTGTGGTAGTGTCCATCCCTAGATGCATTATCCATGCAAGTTTGGCCCAGGTAGGGCTTACAGTTACTTGGGAATGGGACTTGCTCCAAAAACTTTAACTGGGATGCTAACGCCGACGCCGGGGTATAGCATAAGCTCATCTCAACTTTGTTGAGGTGAGCTAAAAATGATGGGGCAGGATACTTTGAGAGGGGCGAGTGGGGCCATAGGGAGTTATGGTATAAAATTTCATTGCAAAAGCTCAAAAGCTTCTTCAGATATTGCCCAGAAAGAAAATGTTACACCTAGACAGAATGTATAAATTTATGACTTTGATCTTTGACATCAAAATCTCAATAGGGGTCTTCTTTAGGCCAAAAGGAGTTGTGGTATGAAATTTCAATGCAAAAGCTCCAAGGCTTCTTGAGATATTGCCCTAAACAAAAGTGTTAAAACAGACAGAATTTATAAATTTATGACCTTAACCTTAGACTTTTGACCTTAAAATCAATAGGATACATCTTTAGGCCATAGGGAGTTGTTATCTACAATATCATTGCAAAAGCTCAAAGGCTTCTCAAGATATTGTCTGGAAATAAATACAGAAAGATGGACAGATGAACAAATGGACAGACAGACCCATATTAATATCCCCCACTTTCAGTGAAAGCAGGGGACAATAATCCTCCTGTATAATATTTTCTTTTGTAGCATAGTATGTATAGTGTTAATTTATTATATCTATCTAAAAGCTAGGGGGAATTTTGAAACTGGGCAACTGGATTCCCATTCAGTACTTGCTCATAGGCAAATGGCTTTTAAAAAAGATTCTAGACCTATATGTACCAAGTCATTGAAATGGGACAAAAACTGTTAAAAAAAAAATAGCATTTTGAAAGAATTTCTAAGAAATTTTTATGGTAAGTATTCACTGCAACACCTGTGCTGAAATCAAAATCCAATAAATAGAATTATTTAAGTATAATCTAAGTAAACTTTGTGTACCATACCTTATTAAAATCAGACCAAAACTTTAGGGAGAGTACTGTTTTGAAAGAATTTCAATGAAATTTCAATTTTTAATAACCATGGCAACATTTGTCAAAATCAAAAACCAATGCTACTTAGTATATTTTGAAATCGTTAGATTTCGTGGTGGCTAAATATTCATGGAATTCATGGGTACCCTGCATCCACAAATTCACAATCTCAACAAATTAATACTTGAGGTTTTAACATTCATCTTTCCCTTTGTAGATATGAGTGAATATATGAAATTACGTCCCCTCAAACCTTTAAAATAAAGGCAATCCACAAAAATTTAATGATTCCGCAGTAGTCTACTTGTGTACCAAGTCTTACTGAAATTGGACCAAAACTATAGCTGGTGTAGTGTTTTAAAAGAATTTCAAATTTATTTGTTTTTAGTAACCATGGCAACACCCTTTGTAGGAATCAAAACTTGATAATTAGAATTATTTATGTTAGTATAGTTTACTTGTGTTCCAAGTCTTTTTGAAATCAGACCAAAACTGTACGAGGAGTAGTGTTTTGAAAAATTGTTTACAGATAGACAGACAGACAAATGGATGAAGGACCTTACTAATGCATAAGTTCAACTGGTCTCTAACAAGTAGAGCTAAAAAGAATTGCTCATACAAATATGTACCTTTGTCCAAAGTTTAAAATTCTTCAAAAGTGAAGATCCAGGTCATAGAAAGGCAAGGGTCATAAAATTGTAACCGCGCGAGTAGAGCTGCTCTTACCAATATGTACTTTTGTCTTAAGTTTGACTAAAAAATCTTCAAAAGTGAAGTTCAAGGTCATAAAGAAGGTCAACGTAAAAAAGAAATATGACACAGTTGAATTGTTCTCACCAGTTTGATCAAATGGATGAAAATATCTTGAACAGTTTCTTTGAAACTAAGGTACAGTAAAACTTGGTTATATTGAATTTTGATTCCTTACATCCATTATTCTTCATATTTGTAAAAAGAATATAGAATATAGTGAAAATCTTCTATAGGATTCATAAAAGTTTCCTTATAATCTGGATTTCCTTATAAGCGAATTATTTATAACCGAGTTTAACTGTATAAGCAAAACGAGAAATAGTGAGGTCAATGTCATAAGGAAGGTCAAGGTCAGAAAAAGGGTTCAATAAAATTCTTTGAAAGTGAGTTAAATGAGGAATAGTGAATGCAACTTAGCCCAACCATTGGGCCTGGAGGCTATGAATTTCACAAATTTGGTAGATGGCTAAGTGTTTATGATAAACATCTAATCAGTTTGCTATTTAATGTCCATGAGTAAAGAAGATTTTTCAGTGTATGACAAAGCCTAAACCTATAGCCTGAACTGGACCCAGGGGCTATAAATTTTACAGTTTTACAGTTTCTGTAGATGGCTAGGTGTTCAATATAATCATGCCCCCAGTTTGCCTGTATTGAAAAGAAGTTTGCCTGAGTTGACAAGGTTTTCAAATACAGCTGTATATTTATTGAATGTGTCATATATGACCAACTTAGCCCCAACCTGGGGCCTAGATCATGAGCCCCAGGGCTATGAATGTCATTATTTATTAATTTGGTAGATGGCTTAGTGTTCAACATTATCATGTACACAATTTGAATATATGACCAACTAAAGCCTGAACCATGGACCCAGGGGCCATGAATTTCACAATTTTGATGGATTGATTACTCATTGAAATCATGCACAGAGCATGCATGCTAGCTGTCCATGAGTAAAGGAGAAGATTTTGTAAAACATAATGCATTTTCATTATATGACCAACTTAGCCCTGCCCTGGAGCCTGAACCCTGAACCCATGGGCTGTAAATTCATAATTTTGGTTGAGGATTCATTGCTCATTACTGCTTGGTGTGCTGGAGTAAAGACAAAGATTTTTTAAAAGACAGCATTAATTTTCATGGTTTTGGCCTGTCACTCAGGCCCCAGGGAGGCAGAAAATATGAAATTCACAATTTTTGTTCTCCTTGACCCATAGATGCTATATACCAAAATTGATTGAAATTGGTTCATCAGTTCCAGAGGAAAAACGGAAAATGTTCAAAAGTTTACGATGGATAGATGATGTATATCACATAATGACAGACAAAAATAGATAGCAATAGGTCACCTGAGTGCCTCAGGTGTCCTAAAAAGGTATGTCAAATGCAGGATCTGAAGAAAGTCTGCAGTGTATATATTCAGAGTCACCACCCATGCAAGTTTATAAGGACAGGGCTAATAGCTACTTTAGAATGATTATGCTCCAAAAACTTTAACCCTTGAAAATGTTATGCAATTGTTAAGTCTAAAACTTGCATTCAATAGGCATCACCCATGCAAGTTTTGTCCAGGTAAAGCTTTATATAGTTATTTAAGAATGGTTTTGCTAATAAAACTTTAACCGGGAAGATTGATGATAAGGGGTATAGCATAATCACATCCAGACTTCCTTAAGGTGAGATAAAATCGATCTAATTATCACTCAGAAGATAGTCCCCAATCACAGTCATCCAGCCCTCTAACATGCTAATTCCCTTCCAGTTTTACACAACATTATTTTTTTCTTAAGGTATTCCACCCTTAATAGGCTATAATTCTCCATCATAAAATATCTATCTGATAAAAAATATTGTAAATGTACTTTTTTTTTTCCACAGAGTCATTATTCCGGGGAATGACAAATTCTGTTCAATCTGAGGGTAGAAAATTACACAGATTTCTTAGATTGCCACCATGTTCCTTAAATGTACTCTAAGAATGCTGGGACAAATTTCCTCAGAAAATTAATGAAAGCGTACATAGTGTAAATTAAAACCATGCGGAAAAATGTACTAATACAGTACTTGTACTCTAGCATTCATCCTATAAAGCATTTTACAGTAGGAAAGGATTAACCAAGAGAAATTTTCAAAATTGTAATTTCCAAAGCAGTAATAACTAGATATCATTGAGATGGTGGCCAACTCAGAGGGCCCTGCTTTAAGCAACGAAGTTCAACATGAAAATGTAAGGTAGCTGAAAAGGGTTTATTTTGAAGAGGAACATTTGTGTACTATTAAGGGATGTGTTGTTCGAGTCTAAAGGGCTTCTATGTCATCCTTGTTATAATAAAAAATGGCACGAAAATCACGAGTGCTCCATACCTCTATCAATACATAGGTAATCAAAGATTACGAAGCTCACCTCGACGAATGTTATCTTTAAGTAAGGCAAATTTCACATCATATTCTATTTTTAGTTAGTGTACATCCCAAGATCAATATCCATGCAAGTTTGGTTTAAGTATGATTTATAGTTACTTGGAAATAGACCTGTTCAAAAAAGTTTATCCTGTTTACTAATCAAGAAAATTTTGGTCAGTTCCAACATCCAAAGTAAGTCTGGAAGTTTTCATCCTTAGATTCATCTATGCAGGTATAATCATAACAGGCCATAATGTTATATAGCTACTCCAAAAAAATTATCCTGGTCACTCATCTGGAAAATGTAGGACAGATTCAGAATCCAAAGGAAGTCTGGAAGTGACCATCCCTAGCTACATCATCCATGCTAATTTGGTTAAAATATGGCTAAAATTCACTCATGTGGAAAATCTAGGTCAAATCCAGCATCTGAAGCAGGTTGGTAAGTGTACATCCCAAGTTGCATCATCCATGCAAGTTTGGTCAAGGTAAGGCTTACAGTTACTTGGGAATGGACATGCTCCAAAGCTTTAACCTGGTCAATCATCTGGAAAATGTAGGTCAGATCCAGCATCCGAAGCAAGTGTGGTAGTGTCCATCCCTAGATGCATCATCCATGCAAGTTTGGTCAAGGTAGGGCTTATAGTTACTTGGGAATGGACCTGCTCCAAAAACTTTAACCTGGTCACTCATCTGGAATATCTAGGTCAGATCCAGCATCCGAAGCAAGTGTGGTTGTGTCCATCCCTAGATGCATCATCAATGCAAGTTTGTTCAAGGTAGAGCTAATAGTTACTTGGGAATGGACTTGCTCCAAAAACTTTAACCTGGTCACTCATCTGGAAAATGTAGGTCAGATCCAACATCTGAAGCAAGTGTGGTATTGTCCATCCCTAGATGCATCATCCATGCAAGTTTGGTCAGGGTAGGGCTTATAGTTACTTGGGAATGGACTTGCTCCTAAAACTTTAACCGGGATGCCGACGCTAACGCCGACGCCGGGGGTATAGCAAAAGCTCATCGAGGTGAGCTAAAAAGGCACAAAAATCACGAATGTTGCATATCCTCTGTGAAAATTGTTGCATAGCCTCTATCAAAATATGGAAGGAAAATCACAAATGTTCTGTACCCTAAGTCAATTGGTAAAGTTTGAGGCTGACTGGACTTAAGGGAAAGATATTATGCACTGAACAAAGATTTTAAACAGAGAGGCTATTTTTGACCTTGATCCTTGACCTAGAATCTTCGTTCAAGGTCAGTGCACATCCATTGACCAGTGGCACTCTGTGAGTGAAGTATGAGCCACATTGGACCAAGGGGAGAGAAGATATGCTCCCGACAAGGATTTTTCATATAATTCTGTTATGACCTTAACCTTAGACCTAGAAATATGGTTCAAGGTCACTGCACACCCTTTACCCAAAGTCACTCTGTGGGTGAAGTATGAGCCAGATTGGGCCAAGGAGAGAGAAAATATGCTCCAGACAAGAATTTAAACAGAGAGGCTATTTTTGACCTTGACCCTTGACCTAGAAGCTTTATTCAAGGTCACTGCACATCCATTTACCAGTGGCACTCTGTGAAGTATGAGCCACATTGGACCAAGAGGAGAGAAGATATGCTCCCCACAAGGATTTTTCATATAATTCTGCTATGACCTTAACCTTAGATCTAGAGACATGGTTCAAGGTCACTGCACACCCTTTACCCAAAAAGACACTCTTGTGGGTGAAGTACGAGCCAGACTGGGCCAAGGAGAGAGAAGATCCAGGTCATAGAAAGGCAAGAGATCTTGGAAGGACGGACGGACGGACAGACTGATCACTATAGGGCGCCCGCAGAGCAGGGCCCAAATTAAATCATTGAAGATTGCATTGAGGTCTTTGAAGAAAAACTAATTTTTAAAAATAAAATCATAAATACTAAGAATACAAACAAATGCTATCGAAGAAAGGTATTTTATAATTAGGAATAATATTTGAGTTGAAAAAAATCCTTTAACTTGAAAGATTTTTTTTTTTTTAAATTTTTATTAATAACAAAGAAGGTAACTCTTTCAGGACAGGTCAAGGTTTTAAATTAGAGCAAATTTAATCCTTAAATACTGATGGTTATAAACGGAAATTATGTATAAATATACAAGTATTACTTATAAAACATTACACATCTACTCTGCATTCAAATTCACTGAAAGGGACTATTATGGACAGAATACCTCAATTATTATCTAAATTAAGTACCCATTTCACAATGCTAAATTAAATGGGGTAAATATGTGCTAAAACAGAGTAATTAAACCACTTACCATTACAAAGTTTGTAGTTTTCAGTTTAGCCAAAAGTTCAACAGTTGTTACTGCAATGTTAAAGTCTGCTGCTATTTCCAGATCCTGCAATGCATATACACTGAAACACAATCTTCCTCAATGTATAAACTTATATGAAAATTTATAAATAATTATGAGCAAGAGGCCCATGGGCCACATCCCTCACCTGAGCACTTTGGCTAGGAAAAAGATGAAATCAGTTTAGTAATGAAAAGTTTCAACATATAAATGTCCCAATATATAAATACAAACCTATAATCTATAAATATAAATCTATATACTTATGACTAATCATGGCTTTTCTGTTCTTGAGAAGAAGATTTTTCAAGATTTTTTCTATCTATTCCTGTGTAAAACTTTGATCACCCATTGTGGCCTCACCTACCCCTTGGGGTCTTGATTTGAACAAACTAGAATATAAACTACCTGAGGATGCTTCCATATGAAGATGACAAATCATGGCTTTGCTGGTCTCTGGAAAGAGATTTTTAATGATTTTTCCCTTATAGTGGCCACATGCTACCACAAGGGGTAATGATTTGAACAAATTTGAATCTACACTTTGTCTGGAAACTTTCACTTAATTTTCATCTTTTCTTGCCCAGTGGTTCTTGAGAAGATGACTTTTAAATGACCCCACCTAATTTTCACAATTTTTTTGATTATCTCACCCTGGAAGAAGGTGTGGCCCTTCATTTGAACAAATCTTAATGCCTTTCACACAAGGATACTCTGTGAAAAGTTTGGTTTAAAATGTCCCAGTGGTTCTGGAGATGAAGATGAAATTGTAAAAAAATTACGACGACAACAAAGATCTGAATTCATGCATTAGTTGTTATAAAGTGATCAGTAGTAGTAATGCCCAAGAAATAGCTGCAATAATGTTGCCCTCTCCGATTTTTAGCTCACCTGAGCTGAAAGCTCAAGTGAGCTTTTCTGATCACCCGTTGTCCGTCGACCGTCCGTCTGTAAACTTTTCACATTGTCAACTTCTTCTCAAGAACCCCTGGGCCAATTTTAACCAAACTTGGTACAAAGTATCCTTGGGTGAAGGGGAGTGTAAATTGTTAAAATAAAAGGCCAAGTCCCCTTACAAGGGGAGATAATCAAGAAAAGACAAAAATAGGAAGGGGTCATTAAAAAATCTTCTTCTCAAGAACCACTGGGCCAAAAAAACTGACACTTATGTGGAAGCATCCTGGGATAGTGTAAATTCTAAATTATTAAAATCATGACCCCTGGGGGTAGGGCGGGGCCACAATAGGGAATCCAAGTTTTACATTGAAATATATAAGAAAAATCTTTAAAAATCTTCTTCTCAAGAACCACTGGGCCAGAAAAGCTGAAACTTAAATGGAAGCATCCTGGGGTAGTGTAAAATCTAAATTGTTCAAATCATAACCCCCGGGGATAGGACGGGGCCACAATAGGGAATCCAAGTTTTACATTGAAATATATAGGAAAAATCGTAAAAAATCTTCTTCTCAAGAACCACTGGGCCAGAAAAGCTGAAACTTATGTGGAAGCATCCTGGAATAGTGTAGATTCTAAATTGTTAAAATCATGACCCCCGGGTAGGGCGGGGCCACAATAGGGAATCCAAGTTTTACATTGAAATATATAAGAATAATTTTTAAAAATCTTCTTCTCAAGAATCACTAGGTCAGAAAAGGTGAAACTTATTCGGAAGCATCCTGGGGTAGTGTAGATTCTATATTGTTCAATCATGACCCCCGGGGGTAGGGCGGGGCCACAATAGAGAATCCAAGTTTTACATTGAAATACATAAGAAAAATCTTTAAAAATCTTCTCAAGAACCACTGGGCCAGAAAAACTGAAACTTATATGAAACTTATCCTGGGGTAGTGTAGATTCTAAATTGTTATCAAAGTACTCAGAAGTACAGAGAGCCGGGCTCATTCACAGAGTAGTGAACAAAGACCATTTTAAATGAAACATACATGTACATTGTTATAACAGGTAAACAACAACAAGTTCAGACACTGGAAGAATATGTAACACAAAAAATGTATTGCATATAGTACAAATATGAAATGTTTCAAAAAAATTCATAAAACGTAGTTTGAATTTAACATTTTTTTTATTGTTTCGGGTCTTATACCACTTACTAAGTAAATGAACATTGATGCAGCAAGGTCAAACGTTTATGTACAAATGAGTCCTCAGTGGGGAGTTTTGTATCAAGGTGTACATCAGGTCACTTGCTCCCGCATCAGTGTTAGCCTGGTAACACAACCTTCATTTATAGAATGTGACTCAGACAAGGAGATCTGGTGGAAACCTTTCGCATATTTCTAGCAAATAATTAATCGAAGAAAAAAGGAGAAAGTATATTACCATTAATGTTTTGTTTTGTTTTGTTTAGAGAAATTCTTTATCAGTTAAGTTAAATTTGTTTAATTTAGTGTTTGTATTGCCTCAAAGGTGGTTGAGCATACTTACTATATTCTTACTCGTATTTGATTTGGCGGTGAGGAAGCAGCATTTCCGGTTGAACACTGTAACATAAGCCGGCCATTGCTCTTCGAGCAATGAGCCCGGCTAAAAATCATGATCCCTGGGGGTAGGGCGGAGCCACAATAGGGTTTCCAAGTTTTACATTGAAATACATAAGAAAAATCTTTTAAAATCTTCTTCTCAAGAACCCCTGGGCCAGAAAAGCTGAAACTTAAGTGGAAGCATCCATTGTTCAAATCATGACCCCCGGGGGAAGGGCGGGACACAATAGGGAATCCAAGTTTTACATTGAAATATATAAGAAAAATCTTTAAAAATCTTCTTCTCAAGAACCACTGAACCAATAAAGCTGAAACTTATTTGGAAGCATCCTGAGGTAGTGTAGATTCTAATTGTTCAAATCATGACCCCCGGGGGTAGGGCGGGGCCACAATAGCTATATTAAAAGGGGGGAAATCTGGTAAAGAACAGCATAGAAAAGTTACTCAGGTAAGCGATGTGGCCCATGGGCCTCGTTTTTTTTTGAGGGAAGAGGGCTACAACTCCATATGATCTTTAAATAGTGCAAGTGTAGGAGTGATTCACTCCTGCAAAGATTTTGGCTCAAATTATCAGTAAGCGGCTATTTTGTTAACTTTTCTCACTTGAACTCAAACCAGAAGTCTCTGATGAGACTGTAGCTCTACTGGTTGTACTTACAAAGGAAGATAAAAGTAGCACTTGGACTCTAAACTTTGCAACAGCAATAAATAGTATAATGATCCTTGGTTTAGTCTCTTTTTGTGGCAAGATTTATTGCAATCAGACTAAAACTGTAGGAGGAGAAGCCTTTTAAAACAATTTTACAGAAATTTTTATTTAAGTAACCATGGCAACATCATTCAACAAAATAAAAAAAACAATAATGACAATTATGCATCTCAGTGTAGTCTACTTGTATGCCAAGTTATACTGAAATCAGACAAAAAGTGTAAGAGGAATAGCATTTTGAAAGTATTTCAAGAAAATTTCTATTTTTAGTAACCATGGCAACAATGTTCATCGAAATCCAAAACTGGTAGAGAGAACTATGTATCTTAGTGTAGTCTGCTTGTGTGCCAAGTTATACTGAAATCAGACCAAAACTGTAGGAGTAGTAGCATTTGAAAGTATTTAAAGGAAATTTCTATTTTTAGTAACCATGGCAACACCGTTCATTGAAATCATAAACCGATATACAGAATTATGTATCTTAGTATGGTCTACTTGTGTGCCAAGTTATATTGATATCAGACCAAAACTGTAGGAGGAGTAGCATTTTGAAAGTATTTCCCAAAAATCTCTATTTTTAGTAACCATGGCAACACCGTTCATTGAAATCAAAAACCATATACAGAATTATGTATCTTAGTGTAGTCTACTTATGTGCCAAGTTATACTGAAATCAGACCAAAACTGTAGGAGGAGTAGCATTTTGAAAAATTGTTTATTGATGGACGACGGACACCTTACTATCGCATAAGCTCTTCTGGTCTCTGACCAGTAGAGCCTAAAATGCAGTGATGCAAGACATGAATTGATCCAAAAACTAGAGGTACTGTGAGAAGTGAGCTCACCCCACTCTGTGATTATAAACCAAATGTTTATAATGGCAATGCATGTTTTGCTGTGGGAGACCCAAAATATGTGTCCAATCAAAAAGTGAAATAGAAGGTGCACAATGGCAGTATGTAACAAAGATTCTGTGAAAGCATCATTAAATTTTATTCAGTGTTATAAGAGGAGTTGTGGATAAGAGATGGATACCCCTCAGTATTATAGAAAGAATGGCAGTGTCCATGTTTTGCTATTGGAAACCCAAAATATGTGTCTGATCAAAAAGTAAAACAGGAGGTGCACAATGCCACTACATAACAAAGATTCTGTGAAAGTATCATTAAATTTTATAGAGTGGTATAGGAGGAATTGCAAACAAGAGATGTGTATCCCAAAGTGTACCGGACGGATATATGGACAGAGGGACACCCCCATCAGTATATACCTCCCACTTTTTCAGCGGGGGTATAATAAACAGGATAAGCCATATATATCAATTATTTTTCGTGAATGTCATCATCACAACTTGAATTTATCTGCCATGTTTATGGACCTTAATTGATTTTTCAGATAATCAATGAGAATTTGAGATCTAGGGAGCAGATCTATATAGGAATCCCCTTATTTTAATCATAAATATTATTATTTATGAAAAATATTTCACAGAGAATGCTTTTATTTATCAATGTTTATTGATACAATACAACACAATCATTTATCAACACTGACATTTACTTTATCCATCCTTTCTGAATTTCAAGTACAAGTCTCAGAACATCAAGTGAGAACTTTCATGGCTGCTGAGGAAGGCGATTGGTAAACATGCAATTTTACTTTACCTTGTTTTAGCAAATAAAGGAATAGTTGTTAAAAGTGAATAAAACTAGAACTGTCCAAAAGGGACAAATACCCCCTGCTGGGTTTTTCTGAGAAGGTGCCAAATCACTAATATTTTATGGATCTAAAAGGTGTTCACAATTTGCTTAAACATTTAGAGTGAAAATATAATT